GGCGGCGGCGCTCCGGAGGCCGGTCTCCTCCTCTTCGCTCTCCTCCGCCCCGCCGCTCGCCGCCTCCTCCTCCTCGGTCTCCTCCTCCTCGTCCGCTGCCTCCTCCTCCTGCAGCAGCCCCAGCGACCGCCGAAGCGCCGGCTCGCTCTCCCGGAGCTCCGGAGGGGGATAGACGGGGCAGCTGCAGGCTCTGGCGACCGCGGCCGAGCTGGGGCCCGGGCGGGGACGGCGGCGGCGGCGGCGGCGGCGCCGGGTGGGGATGGGGTCGCAGACGCTGCAGATCCTCCGACAGGGGGTGTGGGCCGCGCTCAGCGGGGGCTGGTACTACGACCCGCACCAGGCCACCTTCGTGAACGCGCTGCACCTCTACCTGTGGCTCTTTCTGCTGGGCCTGCCCTTCACCCTCTACATGGTGAGTGTGGGGGCGGGGAGCAGGGTGGCTCCTTTCCCCTCCTGGCTGGCGGGGCAGCTCCGGCTTCCCAGAGTCCGGCCGGCCGTCGCGCCTCTCCCGGCTGCGCGCCGCGGTTGCGCCCTCTTCCCTTCCCGGGCGCGCAGCCCGCGGTCCTGCGCCCGGCGCCCCCGGGGACCGCAGCCGGGCTCGCCAGAGGCTCCCCTCCCCCATGCGGACTCCCCTCTCTGCTCTCTCCTTAGGGCTTCCCCTGTGAGGACACGATACAGAGGGCCGCTCCTCCAGACCCGTGGGTCCCGCTCTTCTTCTGGGAATTGGCTGCTTCCTAGGCCTCTTTTCTGGGGGTCTTTAACGTTTCCACCCGGGTTGGCACGTTCCCCCGGGCTCCCTGCCCTTGGTATGCCGTGGTAGGCGCCGAGCGTTTTGCTCCTTTGGGGAACGCCGCATCCATCCTTGGCTCATTCGCGCTCGGTTCCTCGGGGCCCTGGGCTCCCCGGGCACTCCCTTCCCCCGAGGCAGGTCTCGCTCCGGGTCTCCGGGAGAACCCTCCCTCCGCCTAGCTTCTAATCCGCGCGCGAGCTCCGGAGCGGGCGAGGACGTGTGCCGCTCTGTTTGGAACGTATTGGTGTGTCGTCCGGGTTCTAACTCTCTTCTAGGAGGTGGCTGAAAACCTGCCTCTTAAGCATCCTGCTTCTAAAAACCATGGTTTTGCTTACCACGGGTTCTTTTCTGTTGAGCCCGGTGGTTAGTGGCTGCGGTGTTTCCAGGCCAGCTTTGGGGGGAGGGAGCGGGGGAGATACGGGGAATCTGGCTGGCATTTCGGCAGATTTGTTTGGGTTGGTTCAAGGCCTTTGACTGATGGGAAAAAGGAAACTACCGCCTGTTGCTGAATTCGTTATGATCAACTAGCTTCTCTGAATGGTTTACGTGCTGTTTTCGCTGAAAGTTGTTTAAGGTCACTTAAAAAAAAAAAGCACATTAATAGGTTAGGGTGGGGCATTAGAAAAACTAATATGGATAGAAATAACGCTTAAAGCTTCAGTTAAAATTTTTAAAGTAACCGAAGGGGAGGAAAAGATAGTAACTTTTTATATTTTAGTAGAAATCCCTTGAATATGTTTCTGCTATTCTGTTTGGGGTTCTTCGCCGAGCTAGTATAAGGGTGCAGAGTTAGAGAAACTGGGATGTGATTACCAAAAGTGCCAAAGGTGAGGCTAGCAGGAAAAGTGCCTGCTTGGGGAAAGATGTGCTGAATTGCACATTCTCAAGCAGATTCAAATTTTTCATTGAAATTATTTTGAAGGGACTTATTGTTTAAGGTAAAAAAGCCATTAAAAATGCTGATGGCTTTTTTTTATTACAGAACTTGTTTGGTCTGTTGTATTCTGAAAATGTATCATGAAGTGTTATAATTTTCAATTAATTCTGGCCTAGGGAGTTCTGTTTGCAATACTCTACCTTTTAGCAATATGACATCATTAACGAATCGGTTAATTACTTTAGGTGTAAGAATCCTCAGGCTGTGTCAAAAAGCTTTCATAGCAGATTCTGTAATATCCAGGAGAACTGTAAATTTAAAACTGAAAAGGATTCTTGAGAGGTAAACATTGGTTGCTATGTCCCAGTGTAAGTAAAGTTCTTTTGTTAGCACCTTCAGTTAACTGTTTGTCCTGGTTAAATATCTTTCCGTAGTTAACAGACATGGCCAGAAGCCTATTACAGCAAATGGAAACTGATACATTGAGTTTATCTGTTTCATTTTGGGAGTTTATTCAGTTGAATTTAATTTTCTAGTATGTGAGTGTCTACTATGTACTAGACACTTTGCTGGGTTCTGGGAAAATGAACTTGTTTCTCAGACCAAGTTATAGCAATTCCATTTTCCCCAGACCTTTATTAAAAAATTCTTGGTTATTCTGTCTCTTCACATCTAGTCCGCAGATCTGTGGGTTCTGCCCTCAAAACCTAACTGGAATCCAGCTCATCATCACTGTCACCACTGTCTTCAGTCTCTTGAGCCACCATTGTCTCTCTTCTGGATTATTGTTTTAATAAGGTTTACTGCTTCTGTTTTTTATTCTTTATTCTCCATACAGAAGTCTGTGTGATTCTTTTCCGATCATGTCACTCTTCTGCTCCGAGAGCCTGCCCTCTCAGGTGTCTCTGTCCCACGCCCCAGTCACATACGAATTTGCTTTTTTACAGTTGTTCTTCCCCAAGTCCTGCCACAGGGCTTTTGGCTTGTTAGTGCACCTCTGCCTGGAGGACTCCTTTTCAGAGATGTCACTTGCCCCTCTTATTTCACGTTCTGGTATATGTTAGGCTTTTCTTGATATTGTATGTGAAATAATTTCCTCGGTTCTTAAAACACATCCTAGCCCTCCTATTATGTTTTTAAGTTGTGTAATATGTATCCCTAGCTAATATATATTTATTTGTTTGGTATCTTCATTATCTCATTAGAATATATGCTCTATGAGGATGGGCTTTTTTTTTGTTTTTTTTTGTTTGTATTCCTAGGGCTTAGCTAGATCAGTGCCAAGCAAATAGTAAGCACTTAGATATTAAATGAATGATGACAAATGGAACAGACACAGCTTCTGCCTTCAAGGAATGTGAAGTCTAGCCTGGGAATAATGAACAGTTACAGCATTAGAACTTTTATGAAGGGGTAGGTAATGACTGACCCTGATCTTAGTCTTGGGTGGTCAGAGGATTTGTAAGCATTTCAGGAAATATCCTAGTGCTGTAGTATTGGGTAGACAGTTTGAAGTATATGCTTAAAGAAAAATCCAACATTTTATGTAAAACAAAATTTCATAGGTTATTATTTCTATGCTCTGTTAATAATAATTAGAATTGATAATGACTATATTAAGTGTATGGACAGGTTTTTTTTATCCCAAACCCTGTGTCCTCATGAGACTTAGCTCCCAGTGACTTTGTTTGTGACCTAAGGCAGGAAGGTGAGCTGGGATTTACATAAAGCTTTCGGAAGGCAAGGCCACTGTACCTTTTTTTCTTTTTTTGTTTTTAAAAAGACCCTAAGTCTCTTACCCATTGAGTCAGGAAAGAGTCTTAGAATTTTTTATGTAAGATTCACTTTTGCTGTATATTTTGGGGAGCTTTTATGGATAGTTTTGGAAGAT